CCCCCCCCTCCCCCTTCCTTCCCGCGGAATCAATTCCCTAAAGTAGGCCCATCGGTCAGGGACCCTTCATGACTTTTGTCCAATAAATGAGTAATCTGATTCAGATTCAAAACGGCATTTTTCGTCTTGACAGCAGCACGTAGCTTGGCCGAGCGACATCGAGGATTGAAAAATACTTCCTGATTAGATGGGCATATTACTTTCTTATGTAGCGGTAGCCAAGTAGATAAAGATGGTTTTACCTTTGGGCTACCTGTGTTAGGTCTCCTAGAGATGGAGTCAGCCGGAGGAGTCCTAAGGAAATGTTTGACGATAGTATCTTCCACAGAATGAAATGTTATAACCACAAGTCTTCCACCAGGAACAAGAAGTTTTTGAGCAGCTTTTAAAGCTTTATGAAGTTCATTTAATTCATCATTGACAAGTATTCGTAGTGCTTGGAATGACTTGGTGGCTGGATGAGCGAAGCGGTTTAGTTTGTCCTTACGGCCAAATCCAACTGCGTTAGACACAATGTTCGCTAGTTGTTTGGTAGTGCTAATTGGGTGTTTTTCTCTTGCTTTGACAATGGCTCGTGATATTCTCCCTAGTAGAGAAAAAGCATAATTGAATGCCTAACAGGTCACGTGACCCTAACATCTTTTAAAATGAACACAAGGACTAGAAAGAGTACATCAGAAAAAGCTTGAAATGGCATTAAACATAAAATATAATATTTTACTGTGGCTTTTTTTGGAAAAATAATCATTTTAACAAACAAGGTGCATTGTGGTCTATCTTGGGTACAAGCAACACAATATATAGCATGGTTAACAAAGGAATTTTGTACTTAAGCTAGACATTAATGACAATGACAATGAATGACAACGCCAACGACAATGACAATTTTGTCTTTTTTCTCTTCATTCTATGTCTGAAGAATTGTCTGTCTGGCTGTGAGTGTCTGCCTGCTTGTCATTCCAAAAAATTAAAGGCCTTGGTAACACACAAACTGGAAGACCCAGATCCTAGGTCATCAGATATGCGCATGCTCGACATATTGAATCTTACTTCTTACTTCTTCAAAAGAACAACAATCAAGTTTATCTATACATCATTTATGGAACAGTTTATTTGTCTGTGATTAACATTCTGAAAAAATGAGCAATTTAGCGAGACCCTCTGATGTGTATGGTAAGGTATTCAAATTCTAACCACTGAGAATGGAACGTATAGCATAACTGACCTTGCTGTAGGTTAAAAAAGCCTGAATTTGCCTTAATTTCATGAGCAGAAGTACAGCTGCTTGTGAAATAAAATAAGCCTTGATAAACTTTGCTCTTAAACTGTACCTTTTTAGTATATTTGCCATTTTGCAAACAGATGATCATGCAAAAAAATAATTCAAACCAATCATATTAACGGTCTGTTTGTGTGTTACCAGAGCCTTTGCTTTTTCACAAGAAAGCTGATAGGAAGCCTTCAGGTAAGAGGATTGGTCTGCTTGCATTCAATCTCTTTATTTGCTTGCCTTTATGCTTGATTGTCTGTCTGTTTGTGTTCCGGGGGGGTACTCCCATATGTGGACTATACGGGGATGATCCGCTGAACAGGGTATGGTTTTTCAAGCTTCTTGTCAAAACAGGGTATGCAATTTCACTCAAGTTCCAAGTTCTCCCTGAGTTTCCTGTCAAATTCAGGGTTTCTACTTTTGTATTGACCGAAACTGGTTATCATGGTCATAAAAAAATGATACACGAGATGACATGATTAATTGAAACAGGAACTCAGTGCAATTAATTATATCTTTTGTCATAAACAGGGTCTACAAATTTGAGTTYTTTTGTCATAAACAAGGTACCCCTTTAAGAATCCCAACGGAACACCCCTACCCAAATCCTGGTGGAGTACCCCCCCCCCCCCCCGGGTTTGTGTGCATGTCTGTCTGTCTGTCTGTCCCTACTTTTGTTTTCTTTCTTTATCTTTTATTTTGTGTATCCAATAATTAAGGCATACCTGCATCCTTCTCTCCTCCATAGTGCCGCAGAACTGTCATCAGCTCATGTTCACTGATAGAATTCACAACATCTGCAGCAGTGAAAGCTGAATTTCTCTTGTTTTCACTATCATTCTTATTATTCATCCGCATATCAAGAGGGCCTTCTTTATTTACAGAAAACCCTCTTGAAGGATCATCAAGCTGCATTGAAGATGGTCCAATATCTAGTAATATTCCATGTACTGAATCCTCTTTGATATCATTAGTTCTTGCTAGTTCCAGAAGTTGGCTAAATTTGCCATGCAGTGGTTTGAGTCGGCCCTTGTATTCCTGCCGAGTGGACAAGACTTGTGCTATTTCAACTGCCATTGGATCTCTATCAACAGCATATACTTGGCATTTTGCTGTGTTAAGTATTGCACATGTGTGACCTCCTGCACCAAAGGTTGCATCAATAAATACCTAGAAGAATGTTATACACAGGAGATTATATGTAATAATCAGTTTAGAAACAACAACAGACCCCAAGTTATACAATTGGCCACTTTAGAAACGAGCAAGAGACTGGGGCAAGTTTTGAATTTTAATCACATTATAAAAAAACTTTCGTCATTTGAGAAAGAATCTTAACATTATTAATAGTAAGTCTGGCAAATTTGAACATGATTGGATAAAAAGAACTAGAGTTACTGGCCTTCAAAAGTCTAAATTCACAAAGAATGTATGGTTACGGGGGACAAGGGTCAAGGACAAGCGTCCCCTGTAACCATACATTCTTTGTAAATTTTTCAGGCTTTTGAAGGCCAGTAACTCTTGTTCTTTTTATCCAATCATGTTCAAATTTGCCAGACTTACTAATATTGAGGTGCTTTATCAGATGACAAAATTATTTTGCTAATTAAATTAAAATTCAAAACCCTCCCTAGTCTTTTGCACTTTTCTAAAGTGTTTTCAAAATAATAAAAGGGTGTTCTCACCCCCTGTGTCATGTGTGTTATAAAAATAAAGATATATCTATCTTTTGAACTTTTGAATAATAGTTTAAACTACACAAATGCCATGATCAGTAAAACCAACTTTATTAAAAAGAATTAATTATAGGGATTTGTACAAGATTTGTACAAAGGAAGTTTAGCATTCCCCCTTCCGTGGACTGATAGTTAATAAACACGAGACTTTTACGACTCTTACCTCGTTATCCTTTGGCGATAAAAAACCTAAACACTCTCTGCTCATCACAGGAATGTGTAAAGTATGAGATTCACCTTGAAGAAACCGGATCTGGACCTTTCTTTGGCAGATAATTGAACAAGTTTTCGACAAATTCGTCCACAACAAATGCGCCGCCATTTTGAAAATTTTTCTTTCAAATGGTCACCAGTCTTACTCGATAGTCACGTAAACAATAAATATTTAAAAGATGACGTCATTGCTATGGGACACAGGAAGCCCAAGCTTGGGAGTTGGAAGGAAAAAAATTAATAAATAAATAAATATATATATATATATATATGTAAAGTTTTTGAAACTGATCTTGAGTATGTGGTTTTAAAGGTTCTAATATAACAATAGAGCCTCGGGCTAAAATGAGCCTTGGTTGGGCCCAGGTACGTTTACGCCCAAGAGCATCAACTCTATACTATCTTATAAAATAACTGTTATGAATGTCGCGTTCTGATTGGTT